CCCTTTTTTCACTTTCATTCTACATTTCTTTTCTTTTTCATTCACTTGGCGGGGGTTCCAACTGCAGTCTTTTGCACGATCGACCCTTGTTAGTCGAGCAAGAGCAATTTATGTACATATGGCGCTCGCCGAAGTACTTCTTTTAACTCTTTTTCCTCAACTCGTGTGGAGGGTCAATGAAATTAAGGGGGGTCGGAAGCTCTATCCGTGCCCTTAAAAGCACATCCTCGAGTAGACAAACCGCTCAACGGGTGAAAATTTTACTTGTACTAGAGACAGTTTAGCTTCACCTTGTAGGAGTACCCCACTAAGGATCACTAAAATCTCTTCCAAAACCCGATTTTGTGCAATGAATGGTGCCACACACGTTGGGCTTACCCCATGTTTAAGATTTCAATGATTTCGACATGGAGGACCAACTGCTTTTCATTTCCCCCATGAGCACCATGTTCGATACACGAGTCCATAACACAATTCAAACAGAGTCACCATTACCACATGAATTCAACGATCCTAGCTCCACTAATTCACAAAATCATCTGGCACAACAGAGAGCTAGATAGGAAAAATCTTATACTTGAACATCCTCCATAGTGCTACACTACCTCCTTAGGTTGCACTATGGAGGATATGATCAGAGAATATGATCAGGGAAGGCTGAATTGTGCTTATACAAGCAGTATACGGGATTTTGGAAGGGGAACCGGATTTTGATAGCTAAAATAGAGTTTTAGAGAGAGAAAGTGACAAAGAGTTATCCATGAGATCCCTAAAGCAAGTCTTCCCATCATTGGAGCTCGATTCAAGCCTAGACGAGTGATTGTCAATCTTGAGCAGATTCCTTCCGTCTACATGATGATTTCTACATCTAATATTGCTTTCCACTCTCTCTCTCTAAGGAGTAATCTCCTATATCACTTGGGTATGTAAGAACTCTGTAGTTGTATGTTAGAAAGATTTGTATGAACCCTTTGTCATGAAGGAGTGATTATCCTTTAACCAATTGATGCATTATTTAGAATTGCATGAGTTCTCATCAAATTCTTGTGATTTCTACTTTAACCTAGAATAATAATCTCTACATAGGTTAAAAGAGAAACCTGAACTGGAGGTAGTGAATAGACTTTAGTCAAGAAGTCAACTCACTCCTCTATATCGGTGTATACAATAGAGGAAGTTTGAACCTTATTGCCTTATGCGGTAAGCTTATATCGGTGGAGGTTAGTAGCTCGTCGGGTATTCTAACTGAGAGGGTCTGGAACACTTTAGTCGAGACTTCAGACGGTTTGAGAACTTTCCGCACTAAAAGAATTAACCGAATTGAACTAGGGAGAATTATAACTTGGCCTAATTACAGTCTAGGGGGACTCATACTCAAGTGAGCCTTCTAGCCTAAACTATTCGATCTTTTACACTATACTCCTACCCTATGTGCCCCAAAATTACTTGCAAATACTCATAAATTTTAATTTAAGAATAAAGTTGCAATAATCATTTAGATATAACATATTTAATAAACCTATGTTATATAACATTTATATAACAATATATGTCCTACATAATTTATTTAGCTCATTCCAAATGGATTAATTGGCAACAAATTTCCAACGGTAAGTACGAATAAGGATAGAAAATTTACCATCTATAAACATTAATTTTCTCCGACATAAGTCCTAGAGCTATGTTCTCGGGAATATAACATAGCATAATCATGTTATATTCACCACCTTCCCGCACTAATATGTTACATGGATTTTTGATGCACCGATTTGTTATTATGATTCTAGATTCGCCACCTCCCCGCACCAATATGTCTATAGTCGGGGTTGCATAGTTTGTTTGAACTTAATTGTTATTCAATTAGATTATGTGTATCCTCAGTGGTTCAGTTTCACTTTGGATGCTGAGTAGTGAATCTCTCAACGCAATCCTCACTAGTCCTTGATCATTTTTCTGAGGACGTCATAGTTTGGGTGGGGAAGATAACAAACAAGAACTATATATAAGAAAGATCCAATATTTGAACAATAGGCACTATACATATATATATATGGTGGCGTATTCAGTGCACCCACTTTTTTGGGTGCACTCAGTGCACCCGCCTCATAATTGTCATTCTAAGCATGTGATTCATGTTAAAACGGTATCAATTGTTGTTTATGATATTATGAACAAGAAGCACATGAATTTGAAAAAAAATCATTCAAAATTTACTTTAATTTGAAGGATTTAGGATTTAGGGTTAGGGATTAGGTTTAAAATTTGGGATTTTGGATTGGGATTCAAAATTGAAGGTTAAGGGGTTAGGGTAATAGATTGATTTGTTATGATTCTATGTCATATCATCATATTAGATTGAGAGTACTAATTAAAGTTCAAAATTTGATGTAATATGGACACTTTTAGAGTGGGTGCACTGAGTGCACCCAAAAAAGTGATTGCGCCGAAGTAGCCACCATATATATATATATATATATATATATATATATATATTTTTTTTATTAGGAACTTAGAAGCTCCATTACATACTACCCCTATAATAAGTAATACAGAAAGTTCGGTTTTCTATGGCTCTTCACTTTCCAGACATGAGCATCTCCACCAACTGCTGGTCCTTCGGTGGCTTCCTTGCCTCCAGCATCGCCTGGATCATCGTCGGAGCCACCGACATGATCTTTGAGTCGGGTGAAGGACCACAACGGTCCTTCACCACGAGGAATATAAAGAGGATGAGGAACATCATCACGATGCTTCCGTAAAAAAAAAAAAACCAAAGAAGGATTTTGCGATTGAGTCTTCATCATCTCGAGAACTACCTGGGTAGTCGTCGTTGTCTGTAGGGAAGTACTAAATTTTTTATGGTATTATTTGAGTAGAAGACGAAGAAGTGAACAGAAGCAGCCGCCATTTATAGGCATTGGAGTTTGGAAAAGGGAAGAAGAAAAAAAGGAAGAGGAAGAGGAGGAGGGGAAAAATAAGCAAGAATTCTGTTTTCCATGGAGGAAAACCTGAGTTATTTATGTTCCCAATCGAGAAGTAAGAAGAAAGCGAGGAAGCAGAAAATGGTTTAGGAGGCTGAGAAATATGATTATTTGAGTTCCCCGTGGAGAAAGAGGAGAAGAACTGACGATTGGTTCATCAAATCCGTTAGAAAGAAAAACCTCAACCGTTCAACCAGTCAGCACCTCATGAACTGAACATATCCAATTGAGTTACTGGAGCACGTAAATTACCGTAATTGAGACCTGAGAGCGATGGAGGATAGTTGGGGGACGATGTGAGCTGCCAGACGATGATGGGAAGATTTGGTCGGCGGCTGGGAGGGAAACCATAGTGGAGACGGTGGAGCATGGTTGTCAAATCAGTTTAAGTCATTGAGCCGGTCAAGTAAGGGGTTTGAGGTTTATTGGTCTTATCGGAGTCAGGCCGATTTGAGCCGTTTTATATGTTTTCTAAATATATATACAAATAAGATAGTAAATAAAAATTTAATGAAAAAAATGAATATATCTCACATGTATCTATTAAAAACTTATTATCCACAAAATAGAGGAATTCGTTTCTATTTTTAGTAACAACGATAGAGGATTTGAATTGGCGTTCGGAGGACGAAGGCTCCTTTGCTCATGGACATGGAGGTCGATTTCAGGCAGTATGAGCTGCGGTGTAAACTTCTCGACCATGACGATGATGTAAGCAGCGGTTCTCCTTTTTTCGTCCATTTTCATTCATCTGATATCCTTGGAAATCGGTCTTGCAGGGGAACAGATCAGGTCAGTAACCATGAGTTACTTATCCACATCAGCATGATATCAGTATCCTCTTTCTACTGGAAAGTCTTTTATCTTTTCCCTTTTAATCTTTAACGGACGATTTCTCTCTCGTTTTAAGTCGAAATTTAATTTTTTTGCACAGATAAATCAGATTATATGTGCTCTTTAAAATGATATCCACTTTGATATATTTTTAGTATAAAAAAATTTTTGAATAATTTTTTTACCAGTCATTACCATATAGTATGCTCCTATTTAATACCATACGGTAAGAAAGCGTACCATGATAATATGAACATACCAATATGGTAAAAAGGTTAAATACATGATAGTAGAAGTATACTCACTGTCATTTACGACTTTCATCATTGTTTACTACAAGTTACCACCCACATACCATAGTGGTAAAGTATGATAATTTTTTATCCAGTATTTTTCCACCCCGATATTTATAGATCCAATAGATCATGATGAACTCATTCCTTCTGAGCAAACGTTTTCGAAAACAACTTAAAAACGAAGAATTTACCATATGGTATGTAGTTGGTAAAAAAAAGTTTCTAGAAATATATTGAAAATTGATCTCATTTTGTAGAGCACAATGAACTCGTTCCATCTGTGCAAAAAAAAAAAAAATTGAAATCCGAGTTAGAACGAAGAAGATAAAAACCGATTAAGAAAACTAGGGAAAATAAAATGTCTTTAATTGATAACCCTTAGATCTGAATTTTTTGGACCCACTTAAATTTAAAGTCCATACTTAGTTACTATAATCAATGGATTTTTTTTTACAGTAAAAAGTAACCAATGATTACTGACCCCATCCTAAGCCATCTGGCGTTCGTTTTCTTTCTTTTCTTTACTTTACACCTAAAATACATTTGGAAAGAGAAATTGGAGGGGGTGAGAATTCTCGCCGCTGATGATAAAAATATGAGCATGAGTTTTTTTTAGATGATGAAAATATGAGCAGAGTTTTTGACTTGGGTGATTTCCGGCGGCTGGTTTGGTATTGGAATCTGGCGGGAAAGAGCGAGATTTCTCCACCTGACCGTTACGACGGGAATAAACAAAGCTTGATTCACATTTTGCAAAAAAAAATACATAACCTCCTCCCATTGCATCATTCTAGATAAGATACGCAGGCAATCAGAAGGTCGATGCCGCATTCAAAATGGCATGCTCATTGACTTAGAACACAGCGGGGAGGGAAAATCTAATGAACGGTAGTCTAATGATAAATCGGTTCATTAATAACAGCAGTTGTACCAGTGCAAATTACAGAACGCCCGAAGAAAAGACACCTATAAGTCTATAACTTCAAGCAAGTTGTATTGAAGCTTAGCCACTCCCTCAGCTGCATCACTAGTTTATTCAGTCCTTCAAGCTCCACTGCTAACAATCTATTGATACCACAAAAGGGTTTTGTATAGAGTACAACCGACACAATGTAAAAAAAAGTCATCCAGGAGAAAAGAAGGCAATATAGATCATGCTAAAACTGAAGAACAATCTGCTTAAGAAGTTGCTGCATAGAGAGGCCAATAACCCAGGGGCGAGAACAATGCGACGGAAGAAGCTCCAGCAGTCAGGGTTTCATGAAAGACTGCACGAGCAAATCTTTGACACGAAGTGGCAAATAGTACACGATTGCCATGATGGTGGAGAACTTGCCTGAAGAGAACCATGCGGGTGGATGTTTTCTGAGAATGGCAGCAACAGTATGCTTGGCGAATTTCTCGGTAGGGGTGCCTGCTCTGCCCTGGGAGACAAATCGTGTGATTGCCGGCTCAAATGGCTTGTACAATTTCCACTCGGAACTATATATAGCCTCGGCTGAGGGCATTATATTCGATTGAACAGCTCCTGGAACCACATTTATAACATCGATTCCCAGTGGTTTCAGTTCTAACCTGCATTTTTTCGTTTCACATTTGTAAGTAGTCATTACATTAGACAACAGCAAATGACATCCGAGCAAGGTCATAAAATTCGCACTCTTCTTGTCTGCTTGAGTTTAATAAAGGAAATGGCAGGACATGGAAATTTCAAAACGTTTCTCCCTGATCAATGTGTTGGCACTTTCTGTTGATCTAGGGTTGCACGGGACAGATACTAACCTCAAAGTATCAGTTAGAGCATGCATAGCGGATTTAGTTCCAGAATACGTCCCGGCCCAAGGTAAAGGCGCCAGCACTATGACACTTCCTATGTTAACGATCTTCCCCTTTCTTCGAGATGCCATGTGTGGAACAAGAGCTTGAATCATCCTCATGGGACCTACAATACGTAGATGTTTCAGTCGATAAGCTGAAAATTTTGAGTTAAAAGGAGAAAAATAAGGATAAAACAATACTATGGCATCTTCCATGAAATTAGCAATAACAGTCCATATAGAAATCGCTGTTTTGTAAGAAAAAAGAGGACATCAACTAGGAGTCTAGGACTAGTTTGTTCAAAAGCATGAGATGCTGCTCTCAACTAATGTGCAAGGACAGCAAAGCATGACTAATGCAGACTTCTTAGACTTAATCGCCTAAGGACTTACATACATCAAATCTCTAACTCTGTACCTAAATCATTCGACACGTTAACAGACCTGATGCTAATGAAACAAGTGCATCAACAGGTAGACATAGAAGTCAACTAAAGAAACGCAGACGCTATCTTTTAGGTAGTTGCTGAAAGCTATAGTCAAAGTGTCATCGGCGCTTGGGACAGCAATACTACAATAGTATGGTAGAGTTTCCAGACAAGGTCACTGCTTCATTTGACAGAAAATGCGGAAGCCTAAGTGCAAACTTGTACATCATATTCACGGTTTCTACTTTCTAGTCATATCCTGTTCCGAAGAATTCAATTCAGCCAGCAAAAATTTATCTCCATAGACCCAATTCAGTGACCTCTTCAGTTTCTGCAGAAAGTGGAAACCAATAGTATATTCCAAGAGAGCTAATATATCAAAGCAGAATAGGTAAAAAGCCATGTTTCAGCTCTTATTTGGACCATCGATCACTCAACCAACCAAAGCCAGTTCAAACACGTAAGATTATCCCTTGGCAAGTCACAAGTGTACCATCTAGAAGGGCATCAACTAACTGATAAAAGAACCCACAATTCGATTCAAAAGAAAGAGGTGAACAAACAAGCAAGCACAGCAAAAAAATCCGAGAGGGGTAACAATGGGCTGATCTTTAGAATTACCGTAAACATTGGTATTGAAAGTATTCTGGATGCCAGACAGAGGAACCTCAGCAAGAGGGCCGACGCACTGAACCCCAGCGTTATTGACCAGAACATCAACTCTCCCATACTTCTCGATGACGTTTGTCACCACCCTTTGCACGCTCTCGTCGGAGGACACATCGAGCTCCTGGAGATAGAACCTCTCGTCCTGTTCCAAGTCCTGCATCGAGCTCAATGACCTGCTCGTGGCAACGACCAGGCAATTTTTGGCAGCGAACTCTTTAGCCAGGGCGTGGCCAATGCCTCTCTGGGAGCACCCGGTGATCAGAACCACTTCTAGCCCGACGGACTCCATTTGAGGGTTTCAATCGGAGGAAATCGCTGGAAATGGGGGAAGCTTTGAAAGGGGTTTTCTTCTCTACTGACAGTGGCAGAGAAATAGAAAGGTGAGAGCTATGGGAGCTGATTATTAATATGAGTGGAATCGTCGCCATTCTTGGCCGGCTGCGGAGATTTTGAACTCTGGGATTCCGCCGGCTGGATTGGTATTGGAGTCCGGAGGAAAGAGCAACCTTTGTCCAGCTGACGCCTGACAGTAACGGCTGGAGTTAATAAAGGTTTATTCACATCACATTTATTAAATTCCAATTAATGTACCTTCTACTTCAAATAGAAACATTTGATTACTTAAAAAAAAAAACAGAACGCAATTGTTTTGCTACGAATCCTACGATGACTTACAACTTACAAGTCGTCATAATTTGGAAAAAATTGTCTACCATTTTTACCAAATAACTTATTGTTTAAGTCAGATTGTCGAGCACATTCAACAACCGATCGAACGGATGAACCATTGCTAATGAAATTAATATATAAATTAGAGACATTCAATATTAATAAATATGCTTGCTCGTAAGATAATTGAAGTTAGCGATCGTTTGAAAGTTGAGATTGTTAAATAAATGTATTGTTATGAATATATTGTATATATGTATTGTCGAATTCGATGTACTTGAAAAATATAATGTTTGATATGTGTGATTATGTATGTCACATAAGTTAAAATCTTAAATAAAACAATCTTAGTTTAAAGTTTAGATATAACAATCCCTCGTTTTGAGTAATATTTTCAGTCACATCACAAAAACAATCCTTCATGTATTACGTCTGTAAAATAAAAAATAAATGATGGCATGATGCATTCTAAACAATACTAAGTATAGTAACAATCTAAAAAAAATTGTACCTCTCAAACGACCCCTTAGTACAAAGGTTGAAGCATAGATGAGAAGTTTCTCAGGCGAATGTTCTCTCATAAATTTTGAAAATGTTATACACATTTATTTCTTAGATTTGACTTTATCTATAGAGATTTTTATCTTCATTCAAATTCTAAGTTTATTTGCTTTTCATTCTAGGGTTATCTTGTGATGGAGAAGATTTGTTGCAATTGTATTGTTATGAAACTACTTAAAAAGTATATATAATTTTCATACAATTGTGTTATCTTTACATTCATAAATCTTCTATCCTCTTGCTTTTGCAGGTTCTTATTGCAGAGTGTTAAAAGATAGTGTTATTTCTTATTCTCTAGGTCTAAAATCTTTGAAGAGATTTGGTTGCCCACAAGTGATAGGATATTGCATTACTACGAAACAATTCGTATTGTATGCTTCTACTACTTCTAAAACGCAGGTTTAGGTTATAGCTATGTGTATCGTTCATTGTCGAAAGAGGTCCACCTCTTGCTGAAAGTTGTAGACATTTTTCAAAAGCGGATGACCAGTTGTCTGGAATGGTCTATCGGTTGCCAGAAAGAGTTGAGCATTTTCTCCAAGTTACAGTGACTAGTAAGTCACCACATGCATACCATAAATAATTTAGTTTGTGTTTGGTATTTAGATATGTTTATTTCATATGTATGAAATATATGTATATGAAATAATATTTGAATCCGAAATTTAATTTAAATTTATTTGCAACGTGTTAGTATTTAGATTTTATGATTATTTATTGAATTTGAGGCTAAAGAATACGATTTTGGAAATTATAATATTAGTACTCAAATTTAATATTTTTAAAAATTTAGTACCTATACTTTAAATTTTTGTACAAATGGGTATATAAATTTTTATGGTGAAATAATTTGTTAGTATTTGTTAGCTATAGTACCCAAATTTTTAAAATTGTACAAACAATTTCTTTTAATGTATGATGAATTTCAAAGTAATAATTGTTTATATATATTTGAAATTCACAGGTAATATAGTAGATATATATTTAGAATTCAGTCTATCGTACCCAAACAACTGGAGAATCCCAGTACGTTTCACTTTGTGCCTGATGTGTGAGTGTTAGATCAAATTTATAAATCCAGGGGATGTCTAGGATTGTATTTCACGAGGTCTTCTAATGTATAACTACTCATACTCCTCAGCTTCCAAATTTGAACCCTCTGACCCCTTTCGATTTTTCATGGCACAGAGACTCGAAAATATCTATTTCCAGTCATGCTCTAGTTAATTATGTGTGAGTTTCATATTTTTTAATCCCGAGAACCTTGATCTCATTATAGGGATTGTTTTTCGTGTTGCTTGGAATAGATCTTAGATTTCTTTGGGCATTTTGAAGTTCCAGAAGGGAAGCGTATTGGCACTCCAAGTTCTTAGATTTAATTATCTTACCCAATTGTGATTGGGTAGAGCCTTACTATCCCAATGAGCCTCATGAAGGTATGGCGCTTTAGTGGATGATATGTTCGGGTAGTTGACATGCTTCTATCCTTTCGGTAGTGGGCATGGTCCAGCCAATAGTTTCCTCCGATCTCTATAATCGTTATTTTATTCATATGATTATCAGAGCTCTTATAGACGAAGATGGATAGAGAGGTCGAGGATTCTGGTGTCCATAGCTATTGTGATTGTAATAGCGAGCTTGTGGATATCGAATGGCCAAAAAGTCAACCTACTCAAAGTGGATTTGCCTATAGCCCTGCAATTTTGTCCAAAGTGACCATTTTTCGCCACATTATTTATAGACAAAACATTTTTTTCAACACTCAAGTTTGGTCTCAACTTTAAAGCTTTAGCTTCTTTGATAACTTTTTCAAGTTTCCGAGAGAGACCGACAAGATCATCATTCGTTTGTTGTGCCATTTTCACGACCATGGGAGCAACCTGAAATCGCTCCCACACTTTGTGCAACAACTAATAGGTGTGTGGCCGGAAGTGATAAATTTGGTCATTTAGATTATCCATATTCCACAAGGAAGAACTCTTTAATAAAGGCAGGGACCAGTGCCTACCACATGCGGAATGTTCCTGATGACTGGCAATTTAGCGAGCTCTTGGCTTTCCTCGGAATGGAAAAAGGAAAGAGACATAGCCTAATTGCATATGGCTCTACATCGAGATATTTTGAAGAATCACATAACTCCATAAATGTTTTGATATGCTTGATATGCTTGAGCATATTCTCGTTGAATTCCTCAGCTCAAAATTAGGTATAGCAAGAGGTAGGATGATGTTGGAAGCGATGTTCGCAGCTTGAGGTCCCGTACACTCATAGAGAGTTCATTCAACCATGCCTCATAGAGTTGTAAGTTTAGAAGGAAGCTTGTTGCTTTCAGCTTCTAAACACTAGTCGAAGATAGGGTTAAGGCAGAGAGTAGTTAGTTGCCGGCTCGTAGGCTCTCTTCTTACGTATAGTGGTGACTTGGATGTTGAAGAATTGGAAGTCCCACTCCTATACTCGCGAACCTTGGTAAGTCTCTTAAGTTTAAGCTTGTTTGTCTTTCCCGTGTTTTGTGTTAGGCTCATACTAAAAAAATTGGGCATAATCTGTACGTGATATACTCTTGATCGACGTTGTTGGCTTCGATTTATGCCAGTAAACTGCACAAAACTGCCAATTTAAGGTTCCTGATTAATCTTCAATCAAAGTTCAAAATGCACAAAAAATTGATAACAAACGAAGAAATAAAATATTAAAATTAAAATGAACAAAAAACTGAAAAATGAAACAAAATAGAGTGGGTCAGAATAAGCACTCGATGCACCAAAATACGAAGGAAAACAGCGTTGGATCCGCCAATTTGAATCCTCTTGTTACTGACTCTAGACTTTGTCTAACACAGAGACTCGACAAAAATAGAAAATAAACACAAACAGAATAAACATTAATAACAAAAATAAAAGGAAAAGATAGAACTCTTACCTCGTTCCCTTTTTTAAGGCTGTAAGAAATCTCCGACAATGACGCCAAAATTTGATCTAATTATAGTAAGGGGGTCAAATTTACTTGGCTCTAAGGCCAGGATCGTATTTCTCTAAGGTCTTTCATAATCACTTACAGAGGTGGTGAGGGACAAGTTATAAGGTTTGAAAATTGAGAATGTGAAGGCTGAGGTTCCTCCCAGCGTTGAAGTTTTCCTTCGTTTTACAGAAAAGAAGAGGAAAAAATCATAAACAAAAACTATAGCTAAGGCGAGTTGAGGAAAGCAAGAGCATAAAGAGTTGTACAGGAAGCACTCCCTAGAGTTCCCTTACTCGTATCTTGATCCTGGAAACATATGAGTTGCTATCTAATTCTACCTTGTGTTGAGGCTTCTTTCCTCAATCTGATAGGCAACAATGACCATGAAAATTTCTCCCTTAAGGTGTTGTGATGGTTGATCGAACGAAGATTGATCGTAAGAACTGTAGTGTCCAGTCCCGTTCTATTGAACTAGGGTTTTGATAGTTGCACCACGAAGGGATGCAAGCTCGACTTAGGAACTCATTCAATCCAACAAGAGATAACATAAAAGAATCGAAGACAAACAATAGGAAGAATAAAGTATCATATATATGCCAAAATTGAGAATTTTTGTCAAGAACCTTTAGGGTTTGCAACCTATGCAACTAAGGAACTAATCGTCCATAGGGACGAGAGCCATGGGATTTATAAGTCGAAACTAAGATCTCAAGGAGACCCAAAAATTGGTGCCTCAAAGATATATTTTGGGGAGAGTCCGCCAGTTTGGGCATCGATTTATCATTGGTACCAGTGTCGTTCTAAGTCGAGTGAGTCACTCTATCGACAGACTAAGGGACCTCTAATGCCACCTATCACTGGAAACCGAACTCCTCCCCCCTAGAAGTCTATTTATAAACTTTCTCTTACTATTTTGGGGGAGAGAGAATGGTTAAATGACACTTCCTCGAGTCGTCATCCGTCTCTTCAAGCTTGGCCAACACAAAAGGCATATTCCTTAAAGATTTTGGAAGCTTCTGGTCGATCCCTGAAATGGCACTTTGGCACTATTTCTATGATTATGTCGTCGGTTTAGGTGCCACTTTTATCCTCTATTCATTCCTCGATTTTGTCTCCTAGCAGTCGAGTCCTAATGTCCCTTAACACGTCCAAAAGTAGTCCATTAGGTTGCTATGTCTTGAAACACACAAAACACTATCAACTGTGCATCAAAATTATAAAAGCAAGCCTAGTGGTACTAGAATGTGCTTTGAGTAATCATGAAGCAAATCCAAGATATTATGATGTTAAAAGTAAGAAACCCATGAAATTTTGGTCATAATGTGGAGC